CTTTTGTTTGTATGGGTTATATTTATCAATATTTACTGTATTAAAAATTAAAGTTGAGGCATTCACTGCCACTACTGCTTCTCATGATCTTTTGATGAGATTTTAATATTGTTATTATTTTCCAACATAGGCTGGCAAATAATTTTGATTTTGAGGACCCCTGAGAGGGTTTGGGGGGACCCTCAGGGCTCCTAGGACCACACTTTAAGAAACACTGCTTTAGTTGAAGCCAGGCAGCTGCATCATGAGCCTTTAAAACATACCCTAAGATCCAGAATTATCTTTCATGTTAGCCTAAAGCTTACTGAGATGATAATTTGTATATGGACCACACTGACTATGGACTATATATCACATTTCAGGAGGAGATCACATTATTGAATGAAAATAACGTAAAATATTCCTACAAGTAGAAAATAACTGAGAAAAGGCTTTCTCTTTGCTGTATATATATATTTTTTGTATTTTATGGTCATATTGCCTATCTAAAATTCAAAGTGATACACTTCAGACATAGTTTTATCAGTTCAGTGATAACTAGGTCTCAGCTAAAGTAAATGTAAAAGCTAAAGCAATGCTACTTGAAGTATTCACATTTTTTAAAAAAGTATTATTTGTGGCAGTTTGTCTCAGACATATCTGTATGTCTAGCACTTAGAAGCACATGTTAGGAAACATTTACAACTAATAAATACAGCAACAATCTGTTCTGGTATATACTGTATCAATATTTCTTTTTCATTCCATAAATTTAGCCATGGTTTAGGCATAAATGGTTTTCTACAAACCATCTCTGACCACAAATTGTCAGAGTAGTGTTTCCACCCTCTTCTCCAGCTCTGTACCATGAGGAGGAATTTTGAAGCATACTACAAATGAACCATAAAACCATAAGCAACGTGCCAAGGATTGTTGCTAAGAACTATTAGTAAAGACATTATCGGTAGCATGATAGTATTACATATATTTTGCCAATAACACTTAGTGACCTGCTGCCACTATGGGAGTTTTCCAGTAAAGACATTAATGTCTTTTGGTTGAAGCTGTTATATAAGGATTGATGTGACCTTGGAATGAACTGTGAAGATCAGGATATGTTATGCTGGCCATGCAAACAAAATTATACGTATATGGCTGAGAATCAGAGAGAAATCTTTGACTCTGTTGGCTTTTTGGCTTTAACGACATGTATAGCAGGTTAATATGGCATATTTATATAGTAGTAATCAACAAATTACTTAGCATTAATTTTTTTTAATTGCAAGGAGATTTCATTACAGAATCCCTTAATCTTTGGTCATTTTTTAATATGCAGTGTATAATTATTTATTTAATATATTTACAATATTTGTATGCTGCTCATTCATGTCTGTTAACTAATTGTAATCCAGAGGTTGCTTTTGCTAAGGCTGTAGTCTTGTGCCATGCTGACATAAACAGGATTAGTCGCATAGCTTGATTGTCTTTTGACAGTCATCCGTCTAAATTAGTTGGGTAGTAGAGGCATCAGGAACAGATTATAAAAACCTAGTAATTAATAACTGTATAATAATTTTGTCATTAAAAAACTTTTAAAACAATCAAGCATTGTGTTACTTATGATGACTGATATGGACATAATCTTGCTTTGCTGTTCACTAATGTTAAGGAATTGCCCTCTTCCTTTGTCTCGGACTTTTTTTTTCTTACAAATTCCTCTAATCTACTCTAAGTTTGAAAGCTAGTTTGGGAAGCAATAGGTTATGCATGACCTTACTTATCATTTTCTATATTTTAACAGTCCTTATTGCTTTATACATAGTTTTAAAACTTCTAAACATAGGGGCCCACTTATTTTATAGGAATAGATTTAATAGCCTAATATTATTGTATTTCCTTTTTAATTAGTTTTAGAATTATTGCTGTTCTATATTCATATTTTCTTACATTATAATTAATTTTCCATTTTAGTTCCTGTCAGCTAAATATTTGCCATTGTGTTCATTTTAGGAGTATAAAAACCATTCCAATTTGATTTTCTTCATTTCTTTGTTAAATTTATGTCTAAAAACTGCATTACTTTCATATATGTCTTCATAGTGAGTTGGTTTGATGCTGTGGTTGAGGAGGTGGACTAGAAACTGGGAGACCTGGAATTCTAGTTTTCTCTTAAGCCTGGAAGCCAGCTGGGCGAAATGCTATAACAACAAAAAGAACAATTTTTCATATGTGGTGGTCATGCAGAAAATTCAAAAGTACTAGCAAGAAATACATAGGGAATTTTGAAAATAACATTTGAATTTAAACCACCGATATTTTTATTAGGAATGATTCCAGAAAGGTATCACCATTTATGGAGATATATGCTGATGGCGGCAAGACTTAATTTGGCATAATATTGGGAAAGAGAAACCATGCTGACGATACAAGATTGGGAGATCAAATTAGAGAATATATGGCAATGAAGAAATTGACTGTACATATTTACAACAGAAGTCTAACCAAATTCAAGCAGGAATGGCTCCCTTACATGCAACATATTATATAGCAAGCCAAGCTAAGATACAGAATATGGTTTTTGAAGAAAAGAGAGAAACAACTGGAAAAAATGGTTCAAATAGATATTATTTATCTATATATTTATTATATATCTACATATTATATAGCAAGCCAAGCTAAGATACAGAATATGGTTTTTGAAGAAAAGAGAGAAACAACTGGAAAAAATGGTTCAAATAGATATTATTTATCTATATATTTATTATATATCTACATATTATATAGCAAGCCAAGCTAAGATACAGAATATGGTTTTTGAAGAAAAGAGAGAAACAACTGGAAAAAATGGTTCAAATAGATATTATTTATCTATATATTTATTATATATCTACATATTATATAGCAAGCCAAGCTAAGATACAGAATATGGTTTTTGAAGAAAAGAGAGAAACAACTGGAAAAAATGGTTCAAATAGATATTATTTATCTATATATTTATTATATATCTACATATTATATAGCAAGCCAAGCTAAGATACAGAATATGGTTTTTGAAGAAAAGAGAGAAACAACTGGAAAAAATGGTTCAAATAGATATTATTTATCTATATATTTATTATATATCTACATATTATATAGCAAGCCAAGCTAAGATACAGAATATGGTTTTTGAAGAAAAGAGAGAAACAACTGGAAAAAATGGTTCAAATAGATATAAGCAATAACTGTAAACGTTTAAAGCAGAGTATAAATATCTAAGTAGCGTTGGGGGGGGATTAAAGGAAGTAGGAGAGGGTGCTATTAAATACTTCTTTCTTTTATTAAGCTGTATCTTCTTACATTTCTATTTTTGATTTCTGACTTTTGTACAGTGTTTATCCAGTAATGATAGCAATAATTGCAGGGTAGTTGTGTGAGGAAATAAGAGGAGGGAGCATTATTTATATCACCTTGAATCACACAAAATAAAGGTGGGATATGTACCTAGCAAATAAATTAAAAAATGGTGTGTCAATGGTGCAACCAAAAAAATCAGTTCATATAATTTTACTAGAATACTTGGTAGCATTTTGGTTTTCATAAGTTGCTTATGAAATGTTACAAAACATTTCTCTCTACTAGATAAATCATTAATAGATTTTTAGTGTGTAAATCAAAATCATCAACTCTTATAGCCTTCTGTTGATTCAGCCAATTACTCTTGATAGCAGTGAACTGGCATTAACTGGCATGCTTTGATATTTAATTAATGCTTTTTATTTATAGTCTACATTTCATGTTCACATACTAAGTAGCTCAAGAAGATAATAATATATATGTTTTGCCCTGTTTCCTCAGACCTACAATTTTGTGATTAATACAAACAGTATACTAGCATTGTTGTTGTTACAGTTTTGTTTTAGTTTATTGATATCATTTGTAGTCAGATGCCAGTTAGTTATTACTGAGACGATGTGGAAGTAAAAAATGCATTTTTACTGGATAGCTGATACCAAAATCAGTAGAATACTTCAAAGAAAAAGAAAGGTGTGTAAGCCTTCACATAATTTTGCTTTATTGCCCAAAACTTGTTAAATCTCATCTGCCCTTGAACCAATTAAACTTTGAGTAGTGCTAAGTGCATCGTTATAATAGATGTATTTTGGGGAGGAGAGTAGTTTGCATCTTACATTGGGGAAGGGGTATAGTCAGGGAGAGAAAGGTTAGTTCATCATCATACCTGTAAGGTCCAAAATTACTCAAAGCCATTCAGCTCATTATTTATTTATTTAAAATTGTTTAAACTCACCTTTCTTCTGAATGGATTCTATAATAGTGTACTAAGATATTAATAAAAGTAATTATATCATTGTGTATATAATGCAGTATAACTTCAACAAGAATTGGAACAAAACAAAAGGCCAGACACCACATATGCACAAAAACCAGAGTAGTGGACATTAATAATGCAAACTGCTAGTAGATGTTATTGAACTGATTTTTTAAAAAGAGATAATATACAAATATGCTAAAACATATCAAATATAGTAACTGAACTTTTTTAGAATAACAAACAGAATAAAATATTTGGACAGTTTGTAGAGAGTATTCACCCTATCAATGTACCTTTCCTAACCTATATTCTAAAACATTTAAGAGCACAGCCATGTCTTCCCCTCAGTTAATGGCATTCTAGGAACTTTTTGTCAGTCTTTTGACAACACTGAAAATTGTGGATAGGATACTTGACCTGGGAGAGGCATTCTCTGTGTCTAGGCATGTAGAAATCTGTTGCTGTTAGATCCAGCTGTTTGCCATTAACTCAGAGTTGCTGCATTCACATCTGTCCTGGATATAGAACGGAGAGAGGGACTGTGAATGTGAAGTAAAATGGTTGAAAAATCATTCCATTTTTGCTCAGAATGTGCATATCAGGAGATCTGCTTTCTGTTCCCCTCTTGCCCCACTTAGGATGGTTTGTAAATAATTGGGTCTTCTAAAAAGCTGCCTACTGAAGCTAATACTTTTTGTATTTTTAGATAGACACATTCATATGCAAACATACATGAACATGACCATGCATACACAGAATATCTGTGGCACTAGCAGATCAAGTGTTGGTATAGTTTCTATGCACAGCTGTTATTACATGGGACTCATTTTCATTTTCTAATTGTATATCTGAGACCTGTCTATCCTCAGTCATAATTTGACATTTTAAAGGATAATTTATCTTCTTCTATAGGACCGAGGTGACGAATTTACTTACACCGGGAGTGGTGGAAGAGATCTTTCTGGCAATAAAAGAATTGGGGAACATTCATTTGATCAAACTCTAACACACATGAACAGGTACCTTTTTGAAAATATTTTTCTATTTGCTTTTAAGGAGCAAGCATTCATTCTTTTAATGAGAAACTGTCTACTTCCAAGCAGGTAGTCATTTTAAGTCTGTTGCACCTTATAGATTACTAAGGCAACTTAGAGGCCCCCTGGAAAATTAAAGTGCTCTGGGAAATCAAGATGCTAGGCAGAGCTGGTCTGTAGTTTTTCCTACAGAGGAAAACAATATTTCTGCTTCTCACTACCTTGTTGGTGAGAGGATAAAGCAGAACAGGTTGCGGAGGTTGGGGGAGAGCGAGAGTAAATGGACCTCTTTAATGTTTAGTTTTAATGGCTGAGTCATAGTGAATTTAGGAGCCTTTCAAATTGTGGGACACTTGCATCTGGAGGCTGCAGCTATGAGTGCCTGAATCACTCTTTTGTGAAGGAAGAAAAGGAGGATATGTTCAGGCTTGACATGAGGCACTACTTTTTCCATAGGAACAAACTCTAGTTGAGTCAATAGTGATTTTGGGCTTAACTACCCTACTATATGCTCTGCTGACTGGAGCGTCAAATTGCAATAGTTTGGCATCTCATGATAATCCTCACTGATGCTCTGATACTTAAAGAAACATTTTGTTATGTGAAGACCTTTAAAAAAACATTTTGCAGGGCCCTGGCTCTAAATTGTGATGCCCCACTGGATGACAAAAATGGAGCTGAGTCTAAAAATTGGAGAGCTGGAAAACCAGTTAGAGTTGTTCGCAGTTCAAAAGGTCGAAGGATCAGCAAATACGCTCCTGAGGAAGGCAATAGATATGATGGCATATACAAGGTAAATGTTGTTCTGCTATGTTTGTCCTTATCTTGGAAAATATTAATAACAAAGTACTTTTTGTTTTACTGAAAAACATATTGATCCATACCCCCTTTGAAAAATCTTCCCAGAGATTTGGGGTAGTCTGGGAGTTGCTGAAAATCATGTAGAAGCATGCCATGTTGCGTGAGCAGAAAAGGTGCCTGTGTATAATTTTTTGTGATTTCTAGATGTCCCCCCTGGCACAGTTTGAGCTCAGTGCCCTTCTGATCTATCAGAGAAGCTTTAAAGAAAGCCTTTTGTGCACACAGCTTTCAGTTCATGCAATTTTGGTTTCAACTCATTCTGTAGAAAAATATGTTCATTAAGGATCAATAATCAATTTATTGTAATATTCACTATTGTATTAGTTGTCTGTTTTTTCAGCTTTTGCACAATGTATCTGAGGTAAGGGAGGAAGAGAAAGAATTGGCAATAAATAGTCTGTGTATTCAATAATACAATAATATATGCATATGGCTATGTGTTCAGGCCTGGGGGTTCCAGGGGACCAGGGAGATTTTGCAATGGCTCCCTTATTAATATTATCCCCTTCTGTTTTGTGTGCTTTTATGGTTATTTTTACTTGTAATTGTTTTTTTATGTATTTATTCTTTTTAATTATTGTACGTAGCCCAGAATCACTTTTATCTGAGATGGGTGGCTATATAAATACGATAGATAGATAGATAGATAGATAGATAGATAGATAGATAGATAGATAGATAGATAGATAGATAGAT